TTCAGTTCAATTACCTTAGTAAAGTTTGCAAGGAACATTCCTTAATTGTACAGTGTGTGGTTGCTTTCTGATTTTTCAAGCACAGCATACTGGTTGTCTAGCTGAAGTTTAAGGGCCTGGTTTTTTTAAACCTCATTCCTACCTCGATTTTTGTGTCTTACTACTTCAAAGCTCTTTATCCTTCCGGCTTTCTGCATGCTTCACAGTGGACTGCAGGGAACCATGTATGGTTGTATATTTCTGGTGGTCCTTGTGGTGTTTTCATTGTTGTAGTTAACTCGGGCCCAGGAGGCCTATACGCACCACTAGTCATTGTAGTTCTGGGGTTTCTGTAACAATTACTGGAGAAGGAGGTGCTTGTACTGGAGCTGTTTTATTCCAGGGACCCGATGATTTTTTGACACCATCACCACCGCCACCTTCTTCCCAGTTATCAACTGGATTGTTTCTTTATTCGTTATCATCTTCTTCCTTTTCACTTATTTGCGTTGCCTGAACTCAGAGGTCGCTGCAATCAACCTCTTTTTAAGCAAATTCTTTCCTTCATCTTCATCTTTCAGTCCACTGTCCCCGCCCACCACCCATCACCCCCTTACTCCGTTCATTCTTCTTCTGAGGATAATGGAATTTAATACAAACATTCTGAAGCACCCTTGTGTATATGTGTTTGGTGGTGGTGGAGGTGGCATGCCTGGAGTCGGTTCCGACTCTTAGTGACCCTGCATAGGGTTTCCAAGACAGTAAATCATTACAGGAGCAGAAAGCCTTATCCTTCTTCCGTGGAATGTCTGGTAGTCTCAAACTGCTGACCTTGAGGTTAGCAGCCTGACTCATAACCATTACGTTACCAGAGCTCTTTGTGTGTGTGAGTGTGTGTGTGTGTGTGTGTGTGTGTGTGTATGAGTCTGGTGTGGCACCGTAGGATAAGCACTTGACTGTAAGGTCAGCTTGAACCGTAATTTAACAACAATATACGTTGTTAAATGCTGTAGAGTTGGTGCAGACCCTGTATGGTGGTGGTGGCTGTGTGCAGTGGAGTTGGTTCTGACTCATAGCGACTCTGTACAGGGTTTCCGAGGCTGTAAATCTTTACGGGAGCAGAATGCCTCATCTTTTTCCCGGTGGAACAGCTGGTAATTTCAAACTGCTGACCTCGCAGTTTGCAGCCTGATTCGTAACCACGATGCTACCAGAGCTCTCAAAAAGAGGCTGGTGAGCTTGAGCTGCGGCCATGCAGTTCAAATTGACCTTACAGTCTAGTGCATTAACCAAAAACGTCACATGAGGACTCCTATATATAAATATATTTGTTGTTGTTAAGTGCCATTGAGTCGATTCCGACCCATAGCTACCCTGTATAGGGTTTCTGAGGAGCAGCTGGTGAGCTTGAACCACTGACCTTGCAGTTCAAATGACTTTGCAGTCTGACGGCATTAGCCCACAGTGCCACACCTAGATATGTATATTGTTGTTGTTGTTATGTGCCGTGGAGTCGGTTCCAACTCCTAGCGACCCTGGAGATCTGGACGTGGTTCCAGTTTCTACCTATAGTTTTATGTATTGCAAAGGCTCTGCAAGAAGCCTCGTTCACTGGGTACGCTGTAGCCCCAATTTAGGTATTCCAATCAGTCATAGACAGAAGACGGACTTACAAGCCTTCTAGTGTGGTGTTTCTGACTATTCCTTTCTCTTCCTCTCTAGTGTCTACTCTATATTATAATGCAAGGGAAACCAAGATTAAAACAAACAAACAAACAAAAAACAGTCAAGCTTCAA